AGTCTCTGAATTTCCTTGGTTCTCTGCGGGGGCGACATATCCAGGATTGCCTATATTTTCTTCGGGTTGGCTCTTAATCCTTCTGCAGTCAAAAGGAAGCAGAGGAATTTATCGGTCGATGCCTCAAGGGTGCACTTGGTTGGGTTTAATGTTATATTGAATTTTTTTAGTGTTCCGAAGATCTCTTTTATATCTTCGATATGTTGTTCGGTTGACTTACTCTTAACTAGAATATCATCAACATACACCTCAACATTCTTTCATTTTTTATTAGAAAAAATTACATTCATGAGGCGCTGATAGGTCGCCCCGGTGTTCTTAAGCCTGAGTGACATTACATTAAAACAAAATATGTCATGTGCAACAATAAATGACGTTTTTTTTTTTTTTTTAACAACGGTCGGGTGCATTTTTATCTAGTGCCGATAAAACTCAATATTGATCATCTAACTTCTACGTCCACCAAGGTGTCAATCTTCGACAGGGATAGGTGTCCTTTTGGCAAGAGGCGTTGAGATTTGTGAAGTCGACACAAATCAGCCACTTGTCGTTGGCTTTCTTAACCATCATAACATTCAAAAGCCAAGTTGGGTACTAGACTTCACGGATGTAGCTGATGTCCAACAGCTTTTGCATCTCTGCTGTTAGCAGTTTGGCCAAAGTTCTGGCGATCAACAAGATCTTCTGTTGGACCGGCCGAGAGTAGAGGTTGTTGTTCAATTGGTGGCAGATTGTGTCGATTGAAACGCTAGGAATCTCCACCGCGGTCCAAGCGAACACCTCTCAGTGCTCTCGAAGTCTCCGTATCAGTCAGTCCCTAGATCTTATATCAAAATGTTCACTGATTAGGAAGATCTTACCAGGATCATTATCGAATGTTGGTACCTAAAGGACAGTCTCAATGGTCTCGAGACCCCCCTCCCCCTTTTGGATCTGGATATCGAGTGGTTCATGGTCAACATTTGAAACTGCTCGTAAATAGCAGCTTCTGGACTGCTCTAAGTTCCCCTGGACCATAATCACCTCTCCACATGAAAACTTTACAGCCACATGATAGGTAGAAGTCACCGCTCGGTAGTTGTTCAGAAGTAGTCGATCGAAGATAACATTGTAGGTCGACTAGGATTCCACCACAAGAAAATCCTTCATACTGGTACATTGCTTCTGTGGTTCTCTCAAAGAGATGACTAGAGCAATGAGGCTCAGTGCCTCATTCTTTTCCCCGGAGAATCTGAGCAACAGGTTGGCTAGTTCTGTCAACTGGTTGGTCTTCAGGTCGATCGTATCGAACACTATTTTAAATAGGATGTTCACCGAACTACCTATAACAAAAAGACTATTGCCCACTTGGTAGTTGTTGATCAGTGATGTGATGATGATCACCTCATTGTAGGGGTTCCCCTTTGGTAGGAGATCTGCATCCGAAAAAACAATTGGAAAATGGTTACATGCATACAAGACTATGGAACATACCTCTCCTGAACGTTGTCTCTTCAGGCAAGAGCGCCTGACCCGAAAATGGGCGGGATTATCCCTGCAGCATGGACGTCACTCACCCGGACAAGTGCGTTTGAGGGTTCTACGACTAGAGCTTTACCCCGTCGTTGTGTATGCGCTTCGACTGCAACAAACTATTTGAGCTACCTGGCACGGACAAGCTTCTCAATTAGGTTTCAGAGGTGACGACATTCCTCTGTGTTGTGATCATGGTCGCGATGGTATTGGCAATACCTCTTCGGATCTTGTAAGATCGGGGCCGCCTTCAGTGGCGAGGCCGACTTGAAATAGTCCTTATTCTGGATGGCCTAAACTAATTCAACCATTGACATGTTGAGGAGTGTCAAACCTTGCATTTCTCGAAAAACAGACAATCACTCATATGATAGGGTCGATCATTGATCAAAATGTCTCTTCCGGTCATGACACCCTGGATTATTTTCAAGCTGATCTTGGGACATAGAGTTGTTGTTTTGGTGACCGGCTGAGGACTTATTGACCTTTGCCATCTGCAGTTCACCCCATTTTTTCCGCTTCTTGAAGGGATGGTCGGACGGCTTCGGCTTACTCCTTGGGGAGCCCCGGAGGTCTTCCTCAGCAAGTATGTGTCTGTTCGTCATCTTCAATACTTATGAAAAAGTAGCAGGTTAGATAGGTTTATGTTATATCTGAAGTCAGTAAGGAAGTT